GACATAGGATGTAGGGTGATGAGGTGGAAAAACCAGGACATTTTTTCTAGTGGAGGGGACTCACGGAGATTGGTTTTGATGGGCCCAGGGAGCAGGGCACCAAGAGGGTTTTGATGGCTGTGAGAGCAAGAGGTTGCCCACACCTGCTTTTTATATTTTCTATGCTCCCTTCTTCTATTTTTCCTTTTCATTACTTCCTACAAGAACTTGACGATGGTCCTGCTGCTGGTGCATTGATACCACTGCCTACCCATGCTGACCAGTATTGCTTCCTTGTACTACCTCATCTGTCTGTCTGTATCCATTTCTTGTCTCATCTTATACTTAGATTGTAAGCACTTTCGGGCAGGGACAATTTTTTTGGTCTGTGTTTGTACAGCACCTAACACAATGGGGTCCTTGGTTCAAGACTAGGGCTCCCAGGGCTCTACAGTGATACAAATAATAAATTGAATTCATACCAAATCTGGATTAAAAAGAAAGGAGTTTTGTATTTCACTGGGAGTTTGCACTGTGGGAAACTCCCAAGGCTGAAAAACAACTCGCTCTGAGTGGATTGCCAGCAAGCTGCAGCTATCCGCCACAGGAGCAAGTAGAAATGTTACTCTCAGGATTGTGACAACAGCTTTATGTCTGCAGTACATTCATCCCCCAAGGCTGTTGTGCATCTGTTTATACAATTAGTCATTTTTGTGGTCATTTTAGAGTATTTAAATGAGCAACTTTAGCAATGAGACTTTCAAAGAAGGGTTCTGAAGTGGCACAAATGTAGCCAGTGCAAATAGAAGTGCAGTAGTGAGCATTGTAGGAGACCTTGTGCTACGAAGTCTCTTCCATGATGCTTTTACTTATTATATTCCACTAGTTCCTAGAGGCTCTGACTAAACACATAGTAAGATATAGTTTGTACCCCAAAGAGGTTACTGTGTAAATAGACAAGACAGACAAAGGGTGTGAAGGGAACCAAGATGCAGAGACTTGCCCAGGTGCAATGCTCTTTCCACTAGATTACGCTACCTCCCTATTATTTAGGATGTTATAGGGTGGGCACGGTAGGGACCTGAGAGACTAAAGAAAAACCTTTTTTTCAGAGTTGATCAAATGTTTCCCAACCTAATTGGTTCATTTCTTGGTTGAATTTTGTAACATATAGTACATGTTTAAAACTTTGAAGAGTTGTTTGAGCACATTCTGCACTGATCAAACCTCTGCAATCCCTTGGAACTCAATGGAAATGTTTGTGTGTAATCCAATGCAGAATTTGGTCTCCTCCATTTGTATTTAAAAAAATCAGAAAACATCCTTCTTTTATACCAATAATTCCCTTAAATGGTGGGTTCAATTTGACATGCTGCCACAGCTGTTCCCTTCAAAGTCAGGCAACAGCAATTAGATGGTGCAGGGTCAGTGTACTGATATTGCAGCTCTAGAAACTTTGATTCAAATCCTGATCAGGTCACAAGTGAAAATTAATTTGATGGCCTCATCCTGGTCTGTAGTAGAGTCATAGCACCAAGTCACAAATATATAGAGAGAGGCAGTGTAGTCCTATGTATAGAGCAGAGAATGGGGGGTTTCTGGCCTCTATATTCTGGCCTCTATATTCCTGGATTCTCCACTGACCCACTCAGTGACCTGGGGCAAATTTATTTAGTGTATGTATTTATTTCTTATGACTTATTTCAAATCACTTAACCCTTTTGTGTCTTACTTAACTCTTGAATATTCTGACTAGAATTTTCAAAGAAGAGACTTAGATGCCCAAATCCCATTGAAAATCACTGGGTTTGGTGTATTATTCCTTTAGGATCCTTTGAAAACACCAGGCTGTAATACTAATCTAGTCTTATTATTTATTCATCATGTATATTGTCATAAATGTACATAGGAGTTATCTTATTTTGAAATAAAAGTGTCATATTTCAATTAGATTTGCATTGTTTTAACACTCTGGTGCATTATGGCATCTGTGGTACTATTAATCCCAAAGCATATAACCCTGAAATTCAAAGCACCCCAGTACACATGAGAACGCTCAACATTTCGAAAAGAGCTGACCTGCCAGGACATAGTACAAATGCAGTTGGCCCCAGGTTCAACATTTAATATTTAATAATTATTGCTTAACATTTGTATTACAGTAACACCTAGAATAGCAATTCACTGTGCTAGGTTCAGTGCAGACATATAGTGAATGACACTACCTGCCCCAAAGAGCTTACTTCCCCAAAGGGGGATTCAGACTGTTTTACAGCCCTGAATACCAATGTGCCACTTGTCACCTCCTAGCTACAGCTGGTTTTAAAAGTTTTGTAAAACCTGAAATGTTGCAGGGTTCCCCAGCCTTAATTGTAATTGCACGCACACAGCTTGGATTTGTACAGATAGTCTAGACAATAATTTGCTGCTAAGCATTCTGGTGAGAACTTTGTGTAATGTTTAATTATAACAAAAGCTGTTTTACTCTTAGTTTAAAAGGGATTATTCAAGTAAATGCCCTCTATTGTGAAATTATAGGTTACTTTTTCTGTAACTAAATATGAGCACCCTGTTGATTTAAAAGCCTCTCTTTAAACTTACAACACACCTGCATGGAAGTCCAATGAATATTATGAAGTTGTAATTAATTTTCCTAGCTGCAAATCTGCGAAGGAAAACCTATTGACTGTTCCTACATTCAGTAACAAATGTAAGGCCACTGGTGTACCTCCTTTTTAGAATTCTTTTCATTAGGAATATGTATGGCTCAAATAACACCTTTAAAAGAAACCTTTGTTGTTATTATTATTTTATTATTACATTTTTAATATTAAGCTGAATGTATCACATGGCATGATCCTATATTGTTTTACTATTGATTTGCTGTATGTTGAGTGCATTCTTGCAAGACATGAAGGATGCATGAATGCAGTGCATGGTATGATATAAAAGGATTTTTGCTCTGTTGGCATAGAATGGAAGAACAGGGGCATAAAAAGTTATATAGACAGCCTAGGAAATTCATTATGACAGAGTTCACTGTGACTAACACTGTTCACAGAAATGGGATTAGACTTTGTTAAAGAAAATTTGACTCTCAAATAAACTGAGTACTTTGATGTCATAGAGAATGCCAAGGTAGAAAGATTTTCTAAGGGAATCCAGTAAAGCACAATTGGATCATCTAGTTTCAAACAGAGAAAGAACAAAATGTTTTAAGGTCTGCTTTATAATCTGTTTCTATCTTTTATCATGAAAGAATAGTAGGGTTTAAAAACAATGAGTTGTAAATTCTTCAGCCAATTAGTTTAGTGAGTTACTACTGTTTATAATGCACAGAACGTTGAAGGCTGTTTTGCAGTTGCACCAAGTTGGATTGTTAATAACAGGAAGCTAGCACTTCTCAGTACAGTGGATCAGCTACACGTGAAAATAAATGTAAAAAACCTGGAGGGGAATGGCAGCAGACTGAGATTAGCCTTTATTTAATTTAACATTTGGGGGTCCAACACACAAATGAGCATTTTAGTAGGATTCAAATAAGATTTGGAAATGTATATGGCTAATGAGAGCATCCATTGGATA